CCACCTGGTACAGGCAGTTCAGGGCGGGAGAAAAGCTTAGAGAACTCTGTGACTCAATCCCCTTGGAATGCGCCTGGAATAATAATGGGGAGTTGAAAGGTTTTTATGGCCGAGGTAGCTGGTAAAGACCAGGCTCCCCTGGCTGCAGTGGCGAAGGCCGAGGGGGGCAGTATTGCCTTATGCAGTGCCGCTACGCCTGCAAACCGGACAAAAATAGAGCGTCTGGTTTAAATCAACCAAAAAAACCATTTCTTTCGGCTTACTTTATCATCCTGCAGAACCTACAGAACAAGACAAGCTAAGTATATTCTGATACTCTTTAAACACACCAGTAATAGACCAAATCACGTTTTACCGCTGGGATTTCTTAAGGGGCCTAACGTGCAGTCTTTACTTTTCAGATTTTGCGAATTTAACTTCCTTTTTTGAGCTTGTGTGTGGGCATGTGCTTAAGCACTTATAATCCACAAGCAACGCTCTATGTTGCCCTTTTTTTCTTTCCTTTAAAAAAAAAAAATGTGGCCTTGGAATAGTGAAGTGTATCTGAGGCCAACATCTGGGTTGCTTACAACACTAAATATATAGCTGCATTTCCCTCCTTTCACGCCCTACTCAGAATTCCAAAGGCAAGTTTGAACAAAAGGAAAACGTGTCTGAGTGTAAAAGGACAACTTGTGCCAAGAATTACCGTCACAGGGTAAATAACCTTGTTTTCCCCTTCATCTGTGGCCGCTATCAAGCCCCGGTTCTTGGAAAGTGGCCAACAGCCTGTCTGGTGGAGGGTGCTGCTAATTAGAGAGAGCCCATAAACCTCTCTGTCAAAGAGGGCATGTGACCTTCCCTTCAAGTCTAAACAATAAAGCTGGTGAATTGCAGGCTGCACTCAACACTGGCTGCCCCCACAGATTCCCTAAATAGGAACAGGATGGAGGGCAGGCTTAAGAGGTTACCATAGCTCTGCTCTCACACTTTGAGGAATCGAGCACTCACTTCCCCGTACAACGTTTCAATTACTCTCCAGTCTATTTAGAGGAAAGCAGCTTGCAGAGAGAACTCATTGTCTAATCTAAATGAGGAAGCAATTATTACTTGCTGCAGTCTTTCCTGCTTTCAGACTGCTGGGTCAAAGATCAACCTGATCTCATGTAACCTTACTTTGCACTTGGAAGATCTACCCTTGTAACGTCAATTATTTAGCTTTTCTGAGACTCATCCCATCTTCAATATCCTTTCTAACTTTGTTATTATAAAGAACATAACTACCTCTGTAGACTGCTTAATGTTAAGTATTTTTTAAAAATTGTGAGTAAAGGTATCTTCTCAATATAGCACAAGAGTTCTGCTTTCCTTCTAATTTACCTCCTTGCAGCCCCCTTGTTGGCTTTAATTTTATATAACATGTTGTAAACTATAAATAATGCAGTTCTGCTTGCCTCAAACACAGCATATGGAAACTGTTGCCTGTTACATGCCCTAACTGTACTTGCTTTCAATTTAAAGACTGAAAAAAGTTAATCTCCTGTGTAAAAAGGCATTTGGCCTTTTGTGTGTGTTTTATTAGTTGAAGCCCAGGGTGGAACAACACTTGGAATTCCTCGTGTTGTGAACAGAGCACATAAAAGCGTTTATAAGGTGTGGTTTGATGGGAGGAAGGCTGGTGGGACATTGAGGGAGGAAGGAAAGCACCTCCTAAGAGGATACTTCCTCCCATTTAAACTACATCCTCTCTTCAAACTGTTTGTCTTAGACAATAATTGATGGTAAGTGATTTGTCTTTTTCTATTCCATTTGAAAGCATTCTCCCCTTAACTGAAGCTTGTCCAAGAGCCAAATCTATTGCTGGCTAAAACACATGATTCTATTACTTTTCTGATAATCTGAAAGTTCTAATCTGAATACATATAGAGTAAGAATCATTTCTATGTTAGCTTTTTAAGGATACTGTGATTTCCAGGTTAACCAAGTATAATGGAATTAACAACCTGAAGTCACAATGATAGTTTTTCTGCTTGTGAGGGAGGGATAATTCTTCTCAGAAGGTCAAAACAAACTGGTAAAAATGTTACCTCAACTGACTACAAGGGGCATCAGAAGCCTTGTAAGGTACAATTTTTCTTATTACAGTAAACCATGTGCTACAACATTCCTTTTCTTTGTAAGATAAATTGGTAACATCTAAGATTACAGTTTCTGCATACTGAATTAGACAAATGACTTTATATTTTGAGATGGTATTTAAAATTTAAGACAACTTGGTTAGGCTACAGTACTCAGACATTTGGTCAAACACTAATCTAGATGATGCTGGGGAGGTATTATTATTATTACTTTTTTTTGTTTGTTTTTGAGACAGGATCTCACTATGTAGCCCACGGTATTCTTTTTTTTTTTTTGGTACCGGAGATTGAACTCGGGTCCTTGTGCTTGCACAGCAGGCAGCAAAACCACTGAGCTAAATCCCCGGCCGAACCCAGACTATTCTTGAACTCACAATGTAGCCCAGGGTGGCCTGGAACTCGAGGCAATCCTCCTGCCTCAGCCTCTAGAGTGCTGAGATTACAGGTGTGCACCACATCTGGCTTTTTTTGTAATGAGACGAACATTTAAATCAGTAGACTTTGAATAAAATAGATTACTCTCGGGCTGGGATTTAGCTCAGTGGTTCCACCTCCTGCCTCACAAGCTCAAGGTCCCGAGTTCGATCCCCAGTACCCAAAACAAAACCCAACTGATTATCCTCTGTAATGGGATTGGGCCTCATACAGTCAACCAAAGAGGGAAGTCTGAATTCTGTCTGCAAAATCAACTCTTCAGTGGGTCTCCAGCCTACTGGCCTCCATAATCACGAGCCAATTCCTTATAATACGTCTCTTTCCCTGGCTCTATATACGTTATTGGTTCTGTTTCTCTGGAAAGCTCTGACAAATCCAGGTACTTATGTGGACTCCAGGCACAAGCACGATCTACTGTAGCCTTTAAATTTAGAATAGCTTAAGTGAGGCCTGGCATTGATGAGGAAGAAATCATCCCATAAAATCCAACTTTTTTCCCAGTATTTGGGGACAGCTTCATGTCAAAACACAAGAATTAGCCAGATACTCTAACTGGGTTTCATCAACCCCACTCCTCCCTCATCTTTTCTAAATCTCAGCAACCAGAAAACAAAAAACAACTCTAGCAAAGCTGATATACAAAAAGCATCTTTTCCTGTTCATCTCCCTTCTCTTTCAGTCTATTTTAAGTATTTCCCAAAGGTACCAGTTGAAAATGTAAGAAACCTTGACAGTCTATGGGACTCAAAGTTCAATGTCACTTTGAAAAATCTGCATAGCTACTAAAAGTGTAATATTTGAAGAAATTTTGCCCCAAATAAAAGTTATGCCCTGAGTACTCCAGGTGAGACATGATGATGGCTTGAACTAAGAAGCTGCAGGAGACGTGAAAGGGTTGGAGTCAGGCTGTACTTTGCAGAGAGCCAAAAAAGGACTTGGTAATGTATTGGGATGTTAAGAGGTAAAGAAAAGAGAACGAAGGATTAAAAAACAAAATATAGCTCGATGGTGCCGCCACCTGCCTCGAAAGCACAAGGTCCTGAGTTTGATCCCCAGTACCACACAAACAAAATAAAAGGCCAGGGATAAACCACTTTGAGAACCAAATGAGTAATTCAGTATCTGGAAGAAATCCCAAGATAAAGCAAACTCAATCCAAACACCGATTTGGCAATAGTGAATTCATTCTTTCAAAAGCAAGAATTAGTAGCTGGGCATGGTGGCACATGCCTGTAATCCCAGCACCTGGGAGGCTGAGGCAAGAATGGTCACCATGAGTTCCAGGCCAGCCTGGGCTACACAGTGAGACTGTCTCAAAAGATTACAGTATGAGCCGAGGACTTAGCTCAGTGGTTTCGCTGCCTGCCTCACAAGTGCAAGGTCCAGAGTTCGATCCCTGGTACCAAACAAATAAACAAACCTACAATAAATAAATAAGCAAGAATTATTTAATTGTTCCATTCTCCATGGATCTAGACATTACACAAAAGCATAACAGGGCTATTTTATAAGGTAGGCAATCAATGGACACTTTTGAATTGAAAAAATTGATGCTAACTTGACTTGTAGATAATACCAAAATTCCATCATTTGTCTTTTTCTTTCTGATTTGAATGTGGGATTTTCAGGAAAACAAAAAGCTAGCATGGTGACTTTCCTATTTTTTTTTAAACACAGTTCTTTAGTAACCTATACTTACAATTTCAATCTTGTGCTTTAAAATTTAATTTCAAAGAATTATCTTTTAAAAAGCAATTTTAAAACACTACAGAAAGCTAGACGATAAAGAGAGTGTTTCAAGGCTAGAATATTAATAAGTAGGTAGAAGGGCAGACTGTTTTCCAGGGAACAGTGAATCAGCCTCTGACATGATTTTAATTCCACAAATCTCTTTTTTAAACAATAGCGAACCACTTCAAGAAAAAGTAAAATACTAAAAAAAAGTGCTGCAATTCAGAGTATTAATTGTATTCTTGAATTTTAAAATTTCTAATCTTTCTGTTTCACCACAAGGATATAACTAATAATAAAAATGAAAATTTAACTGCACCTTAAATGCTATTTGGAAACCCTTAAATATACATATCATAATGAAATAACACGAAACATTTTTAAACAGGATTTCTCTCTGAAGCTTAAATGTGAGGCAGACGTCTGACTTTCAAACAGATGAAAGCTCAGAACATTTCCAAGATACATAAATCTGAATTTTATGTTGCATTTTATGTCTGAGACAGCTAACCAATCAGTTGACGGCCAGAGTTTTTGTACTCATTGTTTTTCTTGTCTTCCCTTTCTAACGTCTAAATTTAGCAAGTCAGTGTTTCTTGTGCAGTCCTACATGCTGTTTATCTTTTTTTCTATATGCTTTTTATAATTTGGTCTGTGATTTGTAATCTTAAGGTGTGTATATTGTGCACTACTTAATCAAGACATGCTCAATACAAATTGCCACTAATAAAATGAGTTTATTTTATTAAGTTTTCAAAAAATACACTTGTAAAATTACCCACATTCTGGGCTAAAAGGTAGCTTTTACAAAGAGTAAAATTTTCTAAAATTCTAAAATTTCTAAAATTCTCTTAGTTATTAAAGTACATAGATATAAAAGATGTTAGAAGAGAAAATGTTAAGCCATTGGTCAATGTTTAAATATGGTTAATACACATTAAATCTTCAAATACTACTAAAAGACTAAACATTAAAAACATTTAGGGGAAAAACATTCTATTTTCCTTTCAGAAAACTTTACTCTTAGATGATATTTTTCTTTTTTTTTTGTTTTGGTACTGGGGATCGAACTCAGAACCTTGCGCTTGCAAGGCAGGCGCTGGAACCACTGAGCTAAATCCCTGGCCCTTAGATGATATTTTCTAAGAAATACATACCGCATATCACAATAGAAATGGTTTCAAAATTTACTTGTTTCACAAATAAATCAACCTACACAGGAGAAAACAGGAAATTTCTTTTAAATATATATTAACTCCTTTTTTCTGAAAAAAGATATTAAATGAGAATTTAGCCCTTTCCAATTAAAACATAAAAATTACTTATATTTAATGTAAGATAGTATTATATATTTACTAACATAAAAGTTCAAGCATTTTCCAAAAGTACAAACTATGTGTTATTTCAAGAAAGAAAGAAAACACATTTATCTAACCCATGCTTTACAAAAATTTACATACTTTATAACACTGCAGAAATCTTTGGTGGTGACACGTGGAAAAAGATCCCTGAAAACACTTTAATAATTGTGTTCCATCAATCAGTGTAGTCAAGTATTTATAATTAGTAATGGTGGCAGTATCATTTTTTAGCCAAATACACATATATACAATGAAATGTGTGGAAGGGATCTTATGTAGAACCTAGGTAGGTTTGCATAATTAATTACTTAGCAATAGACCTATAGCTAGCTCTTTTTTTATACCATAGAAAATGGTATATAGTATAATAGAGTAAGAATAAACTTTTGGGAAATAGTTAAGCACTAGTGAACAAGCTGAATGAATGTACAGTTAAAAAAAATACCAGCTGCAATTTCTGGGTAAGTTCCAACAGCTACCAAAATAGTGCCCTGAGTCAAGTGGACTTGTGTATCAAGGCCCAGGCCCCAAGTGGTAGCGGGGCAAGCAAGGCACTCTGGTCTACGGTAAATGTACGTCTTTTAAAAGTAGAGTTAGGCCAGGGATTTAGCTCAGTGGTTCTGGTGCCTGCCTCCCAAGTGCAAGGTCCTGAGTTTGATCCCTGGTACAAAAAAAAGGAAAAAAAAAAAGTAGACTTAAATTCATAGAAACAAAAAGACCTATTCCACCTTGAAAGAAACACAAATGTATAAGCTTATTACACAAAGAGAAGGACATGCTAAAACACAGTTAGGGGACAATACCAAAATTTAAGAAATGTAAAACAAGAGATAGAATGTGAGAGAACACAATGGTATCAATCATGAATAAGGGTTTCAATAGCAAAAACATATCAGAAGGATGGAAGGGGAAGGAGTATGCTAAAGGATCTGCGTTGCTTCTTTGAATGTGGCGTTGTTGTTAATGAAGCATTTTGTTTCTTGAAGATAAATAGTTCTTGGATAGTATGTACGTGTGTCTTGGGGACTGAACCCAGGGCCTTGCTCATGCTAAGCACATGCTTTGCCCCTGAGTTACATTCCTAGCCCAAAGGACAGGTTTAGTGCTAAGAGTAATTAGAACTGAAAAAGGTAAAATGGTGCCAACAGACAACATTTTATGACTTATAGGACCTGATCAGGCAATCTGAGATAACACTGCCTCTGCATGTCTGTAGGAAAAAGAAGCATGATGTAGCATTTATAGCCAAGTCGAGCACCATGCAATATAAATACAATTTGCTTCCAAACATTTTGAATTCATAGGAATTTAGAACAAAACTAGAGAGTCCTTCTAGAAATGAAGAGGCTAAAAATTAGTTAAGTTAAAGTAGATGGAGATATTCAGATTTAAACTCTGGGAGAAAAAAGATGGAATGAATTTTTACTTGGGATTATGTATCAAGAATGTGAGCTGCCGCCTGCCTTGCAAGTTCAAGGTCCCAAGAATGTGAGCCAGCCATGGTGGCGCATGCCTGTAATCCCAACACTCAGGAGGCTAAGGCAGGATCACTGTGAGTTTGAGGCCAGCCTGAACTGCATAGCGAGACTCTTGTCTCAAAAAACAAACAAAACAAAACAATGTAAGGTGTCTAAAAAATATTAAGACTAATATCAAGAGGCAATATATGAATTATACTAATGTGCTTCTGAGTAAACATTCTGTTCTCAACCAATACTCTGAGGGGGTCTTGAATAAACATTACCAGTTGGCTTATTTTTCTTAAAAGGTAGAAGAGTCAAAGATCTCACACATCTCTCTCATTGTGTTCTTTTGTGCAATCAAGTAGACTGGTCAAAGTAAATTATCTGAACAAGCATGTTAACTACAAAGTTCATTACTGATCACAAGAATCATCACCCAAAATATACTGATTTAGGGTTCATAATGCGCAACTATTAGTATAACCAAAAAAAAGCCTCATGGGTCAAGATCTCCAAATTTTTTGGATTAAAAATGGTATTTTTCTCTCAGTGGTGCTGCACCTGCCTGGCAAGTGCAAGGTCCTGAGTTTGATCCCCGGTGCCGCAAAAAAAAAAAAAAAAAAAAAAAAAATTTCTAATAGTTTCTGATATGTAGGATTAATGATGTCTGTAGTTTGCATTGGCACTCATATTCAGGAAATTATCTCAGCCAGAAAGATTCAGATGATTTTAGTCAATGCCAGACTTATAAACCAGCAGCACATATGAATGCTAAGCTTGTGAATGGATTGACTATCAGATAATTTTATGAATTAAAAGAGACCTAACTGTTATACTGGACTCTGACTCTATTTCACAAAAGCTACTACCATTTTTACAATTATAATTGGTGTTGATAAAATATGCTGACACTATACAGTTACATGTGGAAAACTGGTTAATGTTTAAAATAACTTCTCATTTGTAAAGAAGATAATTTAAAAAGTTAAAAATCGAACAGTTAGCTATGTTTTAATATTAGAAATCCAATAAATTTAACAAATGAAACCTGCAAGAAAGATGTTTTTCAAGGCATAAATTTGACACGTCAGAATATGACAAATAACAATACTGAGTGTCAATAAAATTTAAAGGAAATGTACAGTTGTAAAATAAGTAAACAATTTTTAAGTGTGCAAAACTAGTCAAGAAAGTGCTATATGGATATCTGCTTTTCAAATATTTGTTTCAAAACCTTTCAGTTAAAGGTGAAAAAAAGGGAGAAAGTATAAAAGTAAAAATGTAAAGAACATATAAAACATACTTTATTATCTTACTGTAGATCCTTGTGATGTCACTGCCTAATCAGAGGCCTATTTAGCTACTGTTCTTGTGTGACCAGATACAACACAGCTGCTGGAGGTAAACTCGTTGTAACACCACAGAGGCTAACATATCCTGAACCACAGTGAGACGCTTCAAGTATACTGTGGGTCTGTGTAACATGATTTCCTATAATTTCAGGTACATAACTTAATAAACCTTGTATGATCACCTTTATTAGTCAATATTTAAAAGTAATTGTTAAAGAAATAAAAAATATTTAAATTCATGAAACAAATCTTATCATTGCCAAAATGTAAGGAATTATTGTAATGTGTAAATCCTGAAGGTAACATGTTAGAAAATGAAGTTGGTTTATTGGTATATTTGTCTTGTGATACTTGAAGTTAGATGACTAAAAATACACCTGTGGTCTCTTCTTCACCTTATATTTTAGTGAACCATACCGCACCTGAAGAGAAAAATGTAATGTTATTAAGAATCAGACTGATTACTTTTTAAAATAAGATAGGATTTAATAATGCATAATTATAGTAATTTTCTAATCTTTCTGATACAAAGAATTATCCTGTAAGCATATATAAAAAAGCACTATGTACATATTCATTAAAATGTAGTTGGTATTATGTTGACTATGTACAGTAGATTATCACTAATACCAAAACATTAACTATTATTGTTTATGGATAAACCTTTATTATTTTATCATTATGTAAGGTTGGTTGAAAGCAAAACTACGTAACTCTTGATATTACCTTTCCTTTTTTATGCATAGGGCTGGGACTGGGTATTCATAGTAACTGTGTGACTTGCTATGTGGGAACGCCATTTTCACTAAATACTGTAAGACTAGGAATTTGACATTTTATAAATTTCCAGAAAGAAAAATTTTCCAGGTATCTTAATACATCTGGTCTGAATGAAGACTTTTAAACATAAATGCTTCGGGCCGGGGATTTAGCTCAGTGGTTTTGCTGCCTGCTGCGCAAGCACAAGGACCTGAGTTTGATCCCCGGTACAAAAAAAAAAAAAAAAAAATGCTTCTCTACAATTCCAACCCGTCATTTATGGATCATTACCCTAAATGATAATGCACCGGGGAAATCCCTGAATACTAATCATTAGGAAAACAACTATACTTGACTAACCTCCTTTCGGCCTTTGACGGTTTTCACAGACTTCATGCTTTGTGATCTGCGAAGGCCTTTGTGTGTTAACATCTCATCATCTGAATATGGCCCATCCGCTTCTTCATCTGTTTTCTCATCTCCATCTTTCAGTGGAATTCCATAAGCTAAGCAAGTTGTCAAAAACAGCATGTTTTGGTAAAAGGACACCAGCCGGCACCAGCTTTTCACCCGTCTGTCTGCAGTCCTCTGCATGTTTTGCATTTGCCCGGTGACTGCTCTCTCCTCTGATCAGGAATGTGCTCCCTGCCCAGTCATTAATCTCTGTTCCCTGCACTATTCTAGATAAAGATCATAATTCATTTCCTCCAGGAAGTTCTCCCTGGCCATTCTTATTTTTACTGTGCATTTATTAAAAACAATTTTTAGGAGGTAACACATTCATCCTGCTAAAAGAATCAGTGAACATAACTAGATATACTATAGTATCTTCTCATCTTTTCTCATCACTTCTAACCAACCCAAGCATTAGCAGGTTTTGGCCTGTCCTTTTTTGCCTTTGACTTACTTAGGAAGGTCCCCTCACCCCATCTCATAAGATAGGGAATGGCAGAGTGAACCAAAGAAGCTGCAAAGGGGCTACAACTCTGGACAATATAAGTTCACTGGGGGCAAGCAATGGGGATGTTACACCAACTGTGCTGCAGCTGCTGAGATAAAAATCAGCCAGGCAGGCAACAGTAACTGAAAACATCACAGGCTATGACGACAGATGTTAGTTAGCAAAGACAGGCAGCATTAGAAAGGTCAACAAGAGATCACGCGGGTGTGCTAACAGGCTGATCTGGTAGCTATAAAGACTGGCTGATAGGCATACATCCAGGCAGTCAGTCGGGTAAAGAAGTCTGAGAGTATTCTGAGGGTGGAACTCAGGGACAGGAACTCTCCCATCTCTGTAGCAGAGGTTCTCAAACTAGTACTTGCTAGATTTACTAAAAGAACTTGACCATACACAGATTGCTGGGTTCCACCCTGAGAGCTTGAGTCAGCAGGGCTGGGGTGGGCTAAAATGTGCATCTCTAACAAGTCTCTAGGTGATGTTTATGGTAATGGCTCCCGATTTAAAAACCTGGGATTTAACTCAGTGGCACCAAGCCTGCCTCACAAGCAAGGTCCTCAGTTCCATCCCTGGCACCAAACAAAAAGCAAAAAACAACAACAAACAAACAAAAAATAAAAGCCAGGACTTAAAGCTCCTGGGGAGAACAAGACAAGGGAATTCTAAGGCTGCCAGAGTACTACTGGGTAGGTTAGTTATAAAGACAGGGATGAGGTTACAAGGCCCCATGAAGTTTCAAATAATCATTTAATAAAGGTAAGAGGTATACATATTTAAATCATGAGATGAGGAAGAAGAAAGATTTCCAGGCTCAGGAGGAGGTAAGGGACAGAAGACTCCTTGCATATAAAGAAAAATACACTGAATAAATGTTCTTTAGTCTGCTCTCCCAGGACACGAATAATTTGAGACTCACTAGGCAAACCATAAAGAGTTGTTAATAAGCTGCTTACTCTCATAATAATATAAACAACTTCGTATATTAGGCACGTACAGTTTTATGCTGAGAGAATTTTAGGCTAGAGGTTAAAAAGGATTTTGAAGTACATTCAGTCATCTTCTAGGCCAAGATCTTTGTTTAACTGCATCAGTCAAAAGAGTGTGTTCTGGGGAGGGCTAGGGCAGCAGAGGAGCAAGTGTGCTTGGAAGAAACACAGAGGCCAGGGTGGCCAGGACAGGGCATGGGGTTACACTCCTGGGAGAATGACCTGATGCAGTATTAAGTAGGAAAAAATGTACATTAAGAAGCAAACAAAGGAAAAACATAAAAATAAAACCAATGTATCGCATGGAAATGGGCTTTTAGGTAATTCAAAATTTCTTTTTTCCTTTTCTAATTTGCCAAATATTTAAAAATTATAATTCTATAATTGAGGATAATAAAAAATTTTGTTTTTAGGTTGTCATTTCCAGATTATTTTCTTTTTTGAAATTTTTCTTTCATTTTTGTAGTCCTGGGGATTGAGTGCAAAGCCTTGCAGATGCCAGATAAGTAACTATATCCCAGCATAGATTATTATTTTTATTGCTGTTGCTTACATAATATTCTTGATTTATTTATTTTTTTACAGTACCAGGGGTCGAACTCAGGACCTTGTGCTTGTGAGGCAAGCAGCAGCACCACTGAACTAAATCCCCAGCCCTTACATAATATTCTTGATCCCAATGTGGCAAAACACAGAGTGAGAAATCAAGTATCAGAAATGAAGTGACTGTGATCAAAAAGTTCTCTAAGGCCACAGGTGTAGGTAGCACAACACTACTGTTCAATAAGCACAGTCCTTGCTATTTTAATTGGCTCTCATTTCACATGGAAAGGAAATGGCTGTCTTTTTCTACCCTCAAGAAATTTATAGACCTGCCAGGGATTTAGCTCAGTGGTTCTGTTGCCTGCCTTGCAAGCACAAGGACCCGAGTTTGATCCCTGGTACCAAAAAAAAAAAGAAAAAAAGAAAAGAAAGAAATTTATAGACCATCAGAGGAAAGACTCTAATGGGCATTACAGTACTGCTATAAATAGAAGATAAGGAAGGACAAGGTGCTATGGGAGCATCTGGGGTACAGTACACAATTGAACTCAACTTGGGGTAGGGGATGGGGTAGAGAAAAAGCCATATAGGAGGAACTGTCCTTATGCCAAATCATGAAAGGCTCAGGCTTCCATATAGTGGGACAAGATGCAGTGGGAGAACAAGGCTGGGAACCTATTGAATTTAAACTTCAGAGAGAAATGGGGGGAGGGCATTGAAGTATTTTAAGCAGAAAGGTAACAAGATTAGATTTGAGTTCTGTAAAAGATTTCTTCCCAGTACTGGGTATTGCAGTACCAGGGCCTTTGCACTGAGGTAAAAATTGCTGACCTCAAACTTGTAGGATCCTCCTTCCTTAGTCTTCTGAAAGCTGGGATTATGGGAATGTGCCACTATCTTTGGCTGTAATTTTTGTATTTTGAGACAGCATTTCCTTAATGGCTAAATTGCCCAGGCTGGGCTCAAACTTGCAACCCTCCTGCCTCAGCCTCTCATAGTGCTGGGATTATAAGCGTGTACTGTCATGCCCAGCTAAGAGCTAAATACTGCTAACATTTTAGTCATTTCATTCAAATGTATGAATATACATTTAAAAAATCACTTTACACTCAGGATGCTGATGCAGGAGGATCTAGGCGAGTCTGAGGCCAACCTGAACTACTTGGCAAGATCTTGCCCTGAAAAACTAAAACAAGAAAAAAACCCTTTACATATATGGAATCGTTTCATTATCTACAGGAAAGGATCATAATGCAAGTACTTTTTTATTATTTTTCCCCTACAATCTGGATATGTTTTTAAAGGCAGTATTGTATATACTAATATTTTTCATGCTAATACATCATGTTTTGCATAATAACTTATCTTAGGCATTTGATTTGTTCCAATATTAGTAATTATAAATGAGATGAACTTCTTATTCAGTGCTGGGGATTGAACTCATGCTAGGCAAGTGCTCTACTGCTGAGCCACATGCCCAGCCAAAGATGAACACTCTTGTATATGTATCTTTGAACACTTTCCTGATTATTGCCTTATGACATATTCCTAGAAGTTTCTTGCTGAGTTAAAGGAAATAAATTTTGATTAATGCCAGATTATCATCCAAAAAGGTTATTTTAAACTCATACAATGTACATGAGTTTGTTTCTTAATGTTTGCTGTAGTGGTTTTAAAACATGTCCATGAATTCTTTTTGCCTTCCCCTAAATCTCACAGGCCTTTGTACCTGCCATAACTACTGACAAAAATGTGGCAGAAATGATACTACAGGACTTCTGCTAGTTTCTCATGGGACATTGGCTCTGGGAGCCTTCAGCAGCTAGTGAGGTCCAAGTTCCCCCCAAGACCATGTGGAGACCACACAGAGACACATGTGTGAGTCCCAGTCATTCTGGCCAAGGGCTATTTGGCTCTTCCCAGACAGGACATTTGTGAGGTCTCTTTTGAGATTATGGTTCCAGTCACAGATGCAGCCTGACTGCAGAGGCAAAGCTGCCTTGCTGAATCCACTCACCCCTCTCATCTGTGAGGTAAGGAAAGTGACAGTGACTGTCTTTTTTTTTTTTTTTTTGGTACCGGGTATCGAACTTGGGTCCTTGGCGCTTATGCAGCAGGTGGTGAAACCACTGAGCTAAATCCCCGGCCCTTGACGGTGACAGTCTTAAACCAGTTTGGGCCAGTTTGTTATGCAGCAATAGATGCGTAACTGGAACAGTTACCAACACAGAACACTATTAACTAAAAACTTTTCTTTGAATTTTGTAAAATTATTACTATTTAAATTTACTATTTCTTTACTATCAGAAGCTGAAGATCTTTTTTTATATATTACTTGGTCAGTTGTACTCTTTAATAAAATTGACAATAATCAGTTTGTAAGCATTTCTAGATTATTGCAAATGTGAACCACTGGCCTGAAAAACATAATGAGAACATTTCTGAATTTGCAATTTGTCTTTTTCATAGTGTGATTATTTTTCCTCCTGCAGGGCAGTTTAACTGTTCTTTTTTAATGTAGAAAAATTTTTCAAACTTTTGTTGTATTTTCTGACTTTGATGTCAGGCTTAAGAAAGTTTATCTATCTTGAGAGAATAAAAATATACACAGGAATTTCCTGCTGGATGGTTTCTTACATTCAAATGTTAACACTTTAAGAATTTATTTTGATTGAGGGCTGGGATTTAGCTCAGTGGTTTCACCACGTACCTTGCAAGCGCAAGGACCCGAGTTCAATCCCCGGTACCAAAGAATTTATTCTGATTGAAGGTTTGGGGTAAAGGTATAAGCTTCAATTTCTACTCCAACTTCTAATTCTAGCAGTTATTCTAACATCGTTTATTTTTTATAAATCTTAAATTATTTTAATTTCATGCTTTGAAATTTAACAAAAGGACTAAAGAGCACCTCAGTATCTTAAAATATTTTGGTTACATTTAAAATATGACTACCAGCGCCGGGGATTTAGCTCAGTGGTTCCAGCGCCTGCCTCGAAAGCACAAGGTCCCCAGTTCGATCCCCGGTACCAAAAAAAAAGTTATGGATTTTCATATTTATAATCCTGTTTTTATTTAGGTAATTGGAACATAACTCTTAACCAATTCTAAATACAATTTTATTTTTTATTTATTTATTTTTTGGTACCGGGGATAAAACTCGGTGCCTCCGCTTGCAAGGCAGGCTCCGGAACCATTGAGCTAAATCCCCGGCCCTAAATATAATTTTAAATAAATTACTGATGAAAAATTTAAATATCTGGTCTAAATTTGAAAAAATATAATATATTCAGCAAATCAAAATCAGTAAAAAGGTCTATATTAGGAACTATTTTTTTTTTTAAGTACTGTGAATAGAACTCAGGTCCTTCCGCTTATGAGGCAGGCGGCAGAACCACTGAGCTAAATCCCCGGCCCTAGGGACTACTTTTATGTTACTAATATATTAACATAGGCAATGGCTCAAAGTTCAATGGTTTTTACTACTACTGTGTGTGTGTGGGGGGGGCACTGTGCTACATGGCTAGTCCTTTTTAATTTTTAAATTTTTGAGACAGGGTCGCGCTAAGCTGCGCAGGTTGGGCTCAAACTGGTGATCCTCCTGCCTCGGTTTTCTAGAGTGCTGGGATCATAGGTGTGCACCAACATGCCCAACTGTTCTTCATTCTGAAACGCATTACTAAATCAATGGCCAATGATTAATTACTATCTTTTAGATAATAGCTACTAACTTTGCAAAGTTATTCATTCTTGGAAAAGTTGATTGTTTTTCCTTTTTTTTGGTACCCGGGATCAAACTTGGGACCTTTCGCTTTCGAAGCAGGAGGTGGAACCACTGAGCTAAATCCCCGGCGTGTTTTTCCTTTTTAATGGAAGGATTATTTTGTATTAGTTTTAATTATAAAGAATGATTTTCAATCTCTTTCAAAAGAAAACTACTTTTTTAAAGAAAAGATTAAGTCTTTACCTATGGATTAACACATTAATAGAAAATGTCCTGAAGATCTTAGGTATCAGCCTTACCTTGAACTAAAACTTCTATTACATGTGTTAAAATGATGAACTATGTCTTATTTATGTGTATGCTTTTAAGATCACAATAGTATATTAAATACAGCAACTGTGATATGGTCATAATTTATAGAGAATATGACTACAAGTTAGTGAAGTAGAATGTGTAATTTCAACACATTTTCCACTTGTAGGAAATGGTCCCACTTTCAAACTGAATCATCTTCCGTCATGTGCTTAAACTTTTCTATCTTGCGAGTCAATATCCATACTTGTGCAGTGCTTAACTATAAAACTCCTTAATTGCTACTACATCATTTGAGTAGAAAGAGTATGGATCACAGGTCAGAACTGAGCATGGTGGTCAGGAAGTAATCACACCCACAGGTTCTAACAATTCAAGGAAGCAGAAGAGGCTACTGCTGCTATCATAGTTGGATGACTTCCATGGTCAGCAAATACCAACCTTGGAGAAAATATGGAGAAAACGAGCTACGGTAAAATATAAAACTCAAAAACATAAGCTTAAAAGTAAATTTACCTACCAAAATTCAAACAGTTAATGTCTGTTATTTTAGTACCCATCTTGACCCATAAACCCAATTACGAAAGGACCATATATTAAAACAAATAAGCACACCTGTTGATTCACTGGGGGCTGGCTTGCTCTTCTTTTTTGCTTCTGGTAAAGGCTGATACGGTCTTTGCCCCACAGGCCCATCACCTTGGATAGCTGTTAAGTCATGCATACTAAAGCTTCTTAAACGTTCAGTTATTGCTCCTTGGCTCTGTTTAATATAGAAGTGGTAAATTCAAGAAAAATCAAACTTCAAAATATTCAATGTGCTTAATTTAACATTTAAAATATGAAAACACTTTATTATGAAACCTGGTGGTATTTGGTTACATTAGTAACATTCCTCAATATTTTATTACAAAACTTTCAGAAAAGTGAAAAGACTTGTACAGTGAGCATGATATATTTACATTTTGCTATATTTGCCTTATATCTACTATCTATCCATCCATCAATACATTTCAATTTTTTATTCATTTCAAAGTAAGTTGTAAACATTAGTACATTTCATCCCAAATATTTCAGCAATGTATTTAATTTTAAAATGTAAAAAATATGATGAGATCACCCTAAGAGAAAAATAGTATCCATAGTTTTAAGTCGTGATTCAATATCCTGGACTAGCGATAACCAAAATAGCACTTTGGAGCTTAAGAGTTTATGATTTTAGGAAAACTTTTCAGAGTGAAGACAGTTTTAAAAGCTAAGCTAAGTCAAATGTGATAATAGCTGTACCTAGAACAAGATAGAAAAATTAAAGAGCCAAAGAACTTTGGCTATGTGATACTGTAATATTGTTAATGAATTCACTATCTGCTAAGACATGTTTACTACTATACAATTTGGAAGTTATTTTGCCTTAATAATATGCTAGATACTAGGCACAGGAAGTTATTTAAATGTAAAGTAATTAAAATAAAAATTTCATTTTCTTAATTGCACTAACCACATTCCAAATGCTCCACAACTACATGTGGCTAATGGATCCAGTACAGGGCATTACTGATAGAGAACACTTCTTTTACTGCAGAAAGTTCAATGATTTTCATCATTGCCCTTTAAAAGGGACATTTTCTGAATTTTCCAGATGTATCTACATTTGCCCCCAAACTATAAAGCTTTATAAAAAGAAAAAAAGTAGTTTCTAAATTTACTCATTTTAAATTTGCATAGTATACAGATGAGCCATTTCTTATTTATAGCTAGATTAAAAATATTCTTCTCAAGGCTTTATACCAGTTGTCTCTTCCTTGGATACACTGGAATTTGTGATTGCCTCTAGTTATAATATTACCATAGAAACTCAACCATAATGGTTCAACTCTACATTTCAAAGTCGACAGTGTTACAAATCTTTGGGTGTTCCTGCTAACTTGTACAGTATTTTACCCTGAAGAAAAAGGTCTTGACTCACGAGTCTTGATTCAGTACTATGGTTTACTGATAGCATACTGTATTATGTCAAAACCAAATGCTATTTTCATAACCTACTTGTGCTGCGTACTTCCATCATGTTTTTTGAACTGTAATAAGGAATTACTATTTTTTTTTGTTAAATTCTTTTATTGGTACATTGTAGGTATACAATACAATTACATTTCTCATTGGGAACTGTACCTTTACATAATGCATCTTGGTTCTTATTTTTTCCCCATTCCTAGCCCTCCCTTCATCGCCTCCACC